ATTCTCCAGGTTTTTTGGTGTTTATTCCATAAAGTTCTCCAGGGTTTTTGGGGGTCGATCCCATAAAGCTCTCCCAGTTTTTGGGGTTTATCCCATAAAACTCTCCCGGTTTTTGGGGTGATCCCATAAAGCTCTCGGTTTTTGGGGTTGATCCCATAATGCTCTCCCGGTTTTTGGGGTTGGTCCCATAAAGCTCCTGGTTTTGGGGTTGATCCCATAAAACTCCCAGTTTTTGGGGTTGATCCCATAAAGCTCTCCCGGTTTTTGGGGTTTATCCTGGAAAGTTCTCTGAGTTTTTTGGGGTTTATCGCAAAAAGTTCTTGAGGTTTCTTGGGAAATCCCAAGAAGTTCTCCCAATTTTTGGGGTTTATCCCATAAATCTCTCCTGGTTTTTGGGGTTTATCTTGAGAAATTCTCCATGGTTTTTGGGGTTGATCCCATAAAGCTCTGGGTTTTTGGGGTGGATCCCACAAATCTCTCGGTTTTTGGGGTTGATCTCATAAAGCTCCCGGTTTTTGCGGTTGATCCCATAAAGCTCTCCCAGTTTTTGGTGTTTATCTTGAGAAGTTCTCCCAGGTTTTTTGGGGTTGGTCCCATAAAGCTCCTGTTTTTTTGGGGTCGATCCCATAAAACTCTGTTTCTTTGGGCTTGATCCCATAAAGCTCCCGGTTTTTTGGGGTTGATCCCATCAAGCTCTCGGTTTTTGGGGAATCCGAAAATGTTCTCCCGGGTTTTTGGGGTTGATCCCATCAAGCTCTCGGTTTTTGGGGTTGACCCCATAAATCTCTGGGGTTTTGGGGTTGATCTCATAAATCTCTGTGTTTTTGGGGTTTATCCCATAAATCTCTCGGTTTTTGGGATCGATCCCTCATTCCCCGCTGACCGTGCCCCGTTGTTTTCCCGCAGCGTGGCCGGATGGGGACCCCTGGAAGGACGGGGACGTTTCGGACGGGGGCAGCAGCACCGGCAGCGCCAGCAGCGGCCACTGGAGCGGGGGCAGCGCCACGGGCAGCCCCAAAAACTGTGGGGTCAGCGCCACGGGCAGCCCCAAAAACTGTGGGGTCAGCACTGAAAACTACGGGGTCGACCCCGAAAACTGTGGGGTCAGCCCCAAAAACTGTGGGGTCAGCACTGAACACTGTGGGGTCAGCCCTAAACATTGTGGGGTCAGCCCCAAATGGTCTGGGGCCAGCCCTAAACATTGTGGGGTCAATGCCATGGACAGCCCCAAACGCTGTGGGGTGAGCCCTAAACATTGTGGGGTGAGCCCTAAACATTGTGGGGTCAGCCCCACACATTGTGGGGTCAACCCCAAACATTGTGGGGTCAGCCCTAAACACAGTGGGATCAGCCCCACACATTGTGGGATCAGCCCCGAACCTTTCGGGGTCAGCCCCGAATCTTCTGGGGTCGACCCCGAATCGTTTGGGGTCAGCCCCATATGGTCTGGAATCAGCGCTGAAGCTTTTGGGGTCAGCCCTGAACCTCTTGGGGTCAGCCCCGAAGCTTTTGGGGTCAGCCCCGAGGCTTTTGGGGTCAGCCCGTCCCCGCCCCACGGCTCTGTCAGCCCCAACCCCAAAAGTTTGGGGGCTCCGGGAGCGGCCGATGAGGGATTCGAGACCGACCCCGAACCCCGACCGGGGGATGAACCCGCCCCGCGCAGG